GTGGGTGCCACATTGTTACCTGGGTGTCATGCTTGAACTGCCTCACATTCAGCTATTAGCTCTAGTTGCTTGACTGGTCAGGTGACATTCACCTGCACCCCATGGGTATTTGACTCTGGCTTTGCCTTGTCAGTGAGATATATTCCACATACTCTACCATTCATGTATTTAAAGTATAGAATTTAATAGTTTTTAGTATAGAAGGCTGTGAAACAATCCAAGTACTAATCTTTTGTATTAAAGAAAGAGAAAGAGGGCTCCCATTCACAGCACTGGTGGATGGGTAGAGGGAGAAAGAACCTCTTCAGCTGACTCCACACTGAATACAAAGCACAACTGGGCTTGATCCCATGACCATGAGATCATGACCTGAGCAGAAATCAAAAGTCGGTGGCTGAACAGACTGAGCCACCAAGGGTTCCATAATCTCCTTTCCTTCATTATAGATTAACTTTATTAGACATTTCATATAAAAGAAATTATACAGTATGTTTTCTTTTTAACCTGTTTCTTTCATTTAAGGTAATGTTCTTAGCACAAGTTTTATTCACGTTGTAGAAGAATAACACTCCAGTTTATAAGTATATAATTTACACATGCAACAGTAGATTGACATGTAGATTGCTCCCCCATTTTAGCTACTATGAATAATGATGCAATGAACAATCATGTACAAGTTTTTGTGTGCATATATATTTAATTTCCCTTAGGTAGATGCCTAAGATTAATTAGAATTGCTAGGTCATTGCTCTTATATGAGGAGCTTTTTTTGAGGAGGAGCTGACGCATTGTTTTCCGAAGTAGTTGCACCATTTCACATTACTATCAGCAATTTATGACAACTCCAATATCTCTACCACTGCAATAAAACTTGTTATTGTTTTGTTTTTCCTAGACATCCTAGTTGGTGTAAAGTGGTATCTCATTATGGCTGAGGTTCACACTTCCTATTACCTAAAGGGGCTCATGTTCTTTTGACCATTTGAATATTTTTGTGGAGATATGTTTACTCACATCTTTGGCCAGTTTTTAAGTTGGGTTGTTGCCTTTTTATTATTAAGTGGTATTAACAAGTTCTTTATGAAATCTGCAAATAAGTTCCTTATCTTAAACATGATTTGCAAGTATTTTCTCTCAGTTTGTGGGTTGGCTTTACACTTTGTTGATGACATAATTTCATTACAAACATTTTTCACTTTTGTGAAATCTAAGGCAACTATTCAGAATAACTATGATATATTAATTTTCAATAAAATATTCATAATCTTCCACTCATGGGAGTGAAATTTTTAATGACAATCACTGTTCTGCTTCCACCCCCCTGGCAAATGATCACTAATTTGAAAGGATTTTCTTTTTTAGTGGGGGGTATGTTTAGATATATTGGTAAGGTTTTGTTTGGTTTTAGTAATAGAATTCTTTTTCTGAGATAAATTTTACACATAATGAAATGCAGACTGTTTAAGTATATGGTTTGATGAGTTTTTATAAATGTATATACTCAAATAGTCATTAAGAAATTCAAGATCTAGAATACTTTCATTAACCCAGAAAGTTCTGTCATGCTCTTTTTCAGTTAATTGCCTCAGATGCAACTATTGTCCTGATTTGTATCACTCTGTTTTAGTAGTGTCTATTCTATAACTTCATGCACATTGAATCACAGCATTTACTCATACTGCATGGTTTCTTTGTTCTGGGATCTATCATATTGATGTGTGTATCAGTCCTTTACTTTTCTTGCTGAAGATTATTCTGTCAACTTCTGCCTTTCAAGTACATTGCATTGGCATGTGATATAAATATTACATATTTGGGAGTCAGTTCATATTATTAAAGGTTTTTTTTTCCCTTTGCAAGTTATTTTCTTTCTTTTCTATATTCTTCTGAGTAGATGATTTTTGTCTAATATTCAATTTTATATTCTTCTTAACATTTTTTTAAATAATGGACTCTTTTTTAGAGCAATTTCAGGCTCACAGGAAAATAGAGCAGAAGCTATGGCAATTTCCTTCATCTCCTCTGATTACAAAATGAGCAGAGGGACCAAGCAGATATTTTTCAGAGACTTACAAATGGTGAACAGGTGCCTCAAAGGGTGCTCAACAGCACTCATCATCAGGGAAATGCAAATCAAAATCATAATGAATTATCACATCACCTTTGTTGGACTGTCATTGAGAAGATAAGAGATACAAAATATTGGTGAGGATGTGGAATCTAGGGATCCCATGTACACTACTGTTGGGCATATAAATTGGTGCAATCATTAAACAGAATTTATTGGTTCTTCAAAAAATTGAAAGTAGAACTGCCATCCATCAATCCTAATGTTAGGTATATATCCAAAGAATCTGAAATCATGATTGTGAAGGGCTATCTGCATTCCTGAGTTCAATGCATCATTATTCACTGAAGCTAAGGTACAGATACAACTTCCCCCCTAACTGAAGAATCAATAGAGAAAATGTGAGATCTTTATGATTCAGACATTAAAAAGAGGAAAATTCTGCCATTTGCAGGAACAAATCAGAGCTGGATGGCACTGGAGGTCTTGATGTTAAGTGAAACATGAAAGACACAGAAAGAGAAATACTGCATAATCTCACTTATATGTGGAAATGGTATAGTTCAGTTCACAAAAACAGAGAGCACAGTGGTGGTTGCCAGGAGACAGGGACTGAGAAAAAGGGAGAGATGTTGCTGAAAGTGTGCAAGGTTTCAGTTATGTAGAATGAATACGTTCTAGAGATCTAATATATAGCATGGTCACTATTGCTAACAAGACCATAATGAATACTTGAAATTGCAACCAGGATAAATTTAAATTAAGACTCTTACACACACACACACACACAAACACACATGCACATACACACGTAACTATATAGAGAATATAGATGTGCTAATTACTTTGTGGTACATCAAACATCAATTTGTATAACATATATATATATATATATACACACACACATACACATGTGTGTGTGTGTATGTGTGTGTGTGTGTGTGTGTGTGTGTGTGTGTGTGTATTTGTCCATCAGCATGCCTACTTTGGACACTAGTGCAGTCATTAACTTTATTATAATCCAGAAATCAAAAAGTAGTGAGAACATTGAAACCATGATACTTCCATGAATTTATTTTAAAATAACTTTGACAAGAGGAAACTATTGACATTAGAAAGGATTTTCCAGTTAAATAATGGGCAACAGCATTAAAAATAAAATGGAATCTGTAACAGTTAATAAGGATGTGGTCAACTTGAATACATGAAAGTAAGGAATTTTATTTTTTATTTATTTTTCAAGGTTTTTTTTTTTTTTTTTTTTTAGATTACAGTTAGTTAATGTACAGTGTAGTATGATTTCCAGGTGTACAATTTAGAGATTCAACACTTACATACCATACCAAGTGCTCATCACAACATGTCCACTCCTTAATCCCCATCACCTATTTAACCCCTCCTTCTAGACACCTCCCCTCTGGTAACCATCTGGTTGTTTTCTATAGTTAAGAACCCATTTTTTGATTTGCCCACCTCTCTCTGTTTTTCTCTATACTCATTGTTTTCTTAATTTCCACACAAGTGAAATCATATGGTATTTCTCTTTCATTGACTGACTTGATTAGCTTAGCCTAATAGTCTCTAGCTCAAACCTTTTCATTGCAAATGGCACGATCACATTCTTTTTAATGGCTGAGAAATACGTACCCCGTGTCTATTCCATTCATCATTCAATGGAAACTTGGGCTGTGTCCATAGATTTGCTATTGTAGATAATGCTGGTATATATATCAGGGGCATGTACACCTTTGAATTAACACTCTTGTACTCTCTGAAATCAATGAGTTAAAAATTCATGAGAAAATCTCATGGTTGCTAATCTGCTCTATTAACTCTGAACACCAAATTCTTTTGTATTTTTTTTAAAGATTTTATTTATTTATTTGACAAACAGAGATCACAAGTAGGCAGAGAGGCAGGCAAAGAGGGAGGAGGAAGCAGGATCCCCACTGAGCAGAGAGCCTGATGCGGGAATCGAACCCAGGACCCTGAGATCATGACCTGAGCCGAAGGCAGAGGCTTTAACCCACTGAGCCACCCAGGCACCCCTGAACAATGAATTCTATTGGCAATGCTAACTTGTTAATCCACACTACTGCTTTACTAGGAAAGGACAGAGAAAAAAGTGGCTTCCTGCTACAAAAGCAGGTTCACTCTAACTCCAGGTTCACTCTAACTAGAGACATTCAAGTGAGTATTTCTGAATGCCTCTGGTAATTTCCTTTATCCCACTTATAAAACATAGCAGTAAATGAAATAATATACTCCCCCTTCCAAAGTGGGTTCTACTTTTCTGTATGTCAGTCTCAAAAAATATGTTTTATCTATGGTATATTTTAAATTATTATTTAGTTTTGACAACATACATTATTTTGCTTCTTTTCCTTTTAGAGTTGTAGAATTCTCTTGTAGCTCCTATATAGAAATCAAACAAATTAGCTGAATATCTCACACCTTTTTGGTGTTGCATTCACAATTATGGAAATCTTTAAAATGAATGAATGATATAAGAAAAATAATTCTTGACACACAAAGTTAGCTCCTTTGCTCTGATGTGTTCAAGAGAAAGCAGGGTATCTTATTTGAAATTTTCTATAGAGTGAATTACAAATCATAGAGAATATGCTCTTTTTTATTTATGAATACTCACTGTTTGAACAGTTGTGATTGTGTATAAATATCTTTCTTCTTATCAAACCAAAGTGTAGACTGAAATGTGAGGAGTATTTCATAATCAACAATGTCAGAATTGAACTCTCAGGAGAGGTAAGAACCTGGCTGGCATTACGAGGGAAGCTACTTTGAGGGCAGAAGTACAGAAAAAAGTAAGGAATCAGGTGCATTGTAATAGAGTGTGTTGGACAAGTGAGGATATACACTATTATATTTGACATCTGTACAGATTAAAGAATCAACCAAAACCCTCAATTCATCACTTGCTTTCTGAGGTAGTTGTGATATGCCATAGCTTTCTCATGGCATTTTTAACTTCTGCATTCCTCAGTGTGTAGATGAATGGGTTGAGAAAAGGGATCCCAATAGTGTAAAATATGGACACCATCTTGTCCATAGGGAAAGCGCTTGGGGGGCGTGCATATATGAATATACATGGAACAAAGAATAAGACTACTACGATGATGTGAGAAATGCAGGTGGAGAGAGCTTTTCTCCTCCCTTCTGCACTGTGATTTCTCAGTGAATGCAGGATGACAGTGTATGAAATCATCAGAAACACAAAACTGCCTGTGCAAATGCTCCCACTGACCCATTCTAGGTTGATCATATAGGTGTCCATGCATGCAAGTTTCAGCAAGGGCTGCAAATCACAGCAGTAATGATCAATCAAATTGGGTCCACAGAAAGGCAATTTCAAGGCCAGCGTTATCTCAGCAATGGAATGGATAAAAGCTCCTATCCATGCAAGAATGATCAGGATTGTGCAAACTTGCTGTCTCATGATGGTTGGGTAATGTAAGGGCTTACAAATGGCCACATAGCGATCAATAGCCATGAGGATGAGAACAAAGACCTCCATGGGGCCAAAGAAATGAATTGCAAAGACTTGAGTCATGCACTCATTGTAAGATATGGTTCTTTGTGCCGAGAGTGAATCCACAATTAGTCTGGGGGCTGTGGAAGTTGAGAGGCAGGAATCAGCAAGGGACAAATAAAATAGGAAAAAGTACATGGGGCTCCCAAGTGTGCGGCTGGACTTGATGGTCACAATAATGAGCAAATTCCCTGCCACAGTTCCCACATAAAATATGAAGAAGATTACAAATACCATCTTCTTTTTCATTGGATCTTGGGTCAATCCTAGCAGTATGAACTCAGTAACAGTGTTATTTTGCTTCATAATTTCAGGCCAAGTGGAGAAAATGAAGGTTAGAGATAATTAATCTGCAAAGAAAGAAATATGAGGAAATGAATACTCCATTTGGAGGTCAAATTCATATGCTTGTTCATGGAAGGGCCACTTACCAGTGGGTAATCCCTTATCTTCCGTGTTTTGTTTTCCCTTGAATAACGCAGAGATCATAATATTTATTCACAATCTATTCTCCTGATTGCTTATGGAAACAAGGAAACATATTAATAATGAGAACGTACCCAATTCTTCAGGTATAATAAACATTAATTTAATGAATTTATTATGAAAGGATATCTTTCTGAGCTGAATATCTTTCCTTATTTTACATCATGGACCCATTAAGGTAGAATGTTGCAAAAAGGAGAAAACTCATGCATAATATACATAATGTGCTTTCATACTTTTAGAATGTGATAGATAATTATGAAGTATCTTCTAGTGAATATTCTGAACATTCAATAAATGACATGGAAACTTTTAATACTTTTGTTTGTTTGTTTGTTTGTTTAATGAAACCTATGAGAGAGAGAGTGAGAAAGGGTGAGGGGAAGAGAGAAAAAGACAAAAGAGAAATAAGCAATATTTTGGCAGTGAATGTTCGGTCAATTCGTTTAGTCCATCATTAAGTTTATTTTGATCTGTTCCCTTGACTAAATTTATTTCCTTTTACTTTAACTCTCTGTAATTTATAGTTGCTTATAGTTGTGAATTCAGCTTCTATCATAACATTTTATACTTTTTACATTATCCTATGTTGTCCAAAGTAGAATTCTTCACCTCGTCCAGTATTTTGATGGGTCTTTCTGCATATTTTCTTAAGACACAAAGAGAGGGGCGCCTCGGTGGCTCAGTGGGTTAAAGCCTCTGTCTTCGGCCTAGGTCATGATCCCAGGGTTCTGGGATCAAGCCCCGCATCGGGCTGTCTGCTCCGCAGGGAGCCTGCTTCATCTTCTCTCTCTCTCTCTGCCTGCCTCTCTGCCTACTTGTGATCTCTGTCTGTCAAATAAATAAATAACTCA